AGGTTTTTCTATACCTGACCACAGACAACTTCAATAGTCCTAATCACTTAAGCTAACTCACCAACAGAAGCTCCCCAAGTTTTTATTCAGTCATATATAATGTGTGAATACAAAAACAAAAACTGCCAATAAACTACAAGACTGCCGTTTTCATTTTGATTTATGGGCTTTCGTTAGTAACCAATCACCTCTACCGAGCGGTTTTGATCCTACATATTCTTAAAGGACCGCAGAGATGTATTTTAATGACGCAGCTGGATCAAGTTTCATACGAGGTTCATTTTTCCAGAAATAACTAAGTCGACCATTTTTTCAATACTTTTTAAATGATTTTGTAGTCTCAGGAGGCCTTTGAAATCTGCAAATAAAAGTTTCCTGCCATCTAATTATGTTAAAGATTATAGCAAAAATATATATTACCTATATATATTCAAATCATTTGCCTCAAATAATATATGAGAACAAGCTTCGCATCTGCTTTGTTGATTTTTATACGATCACGCAGTCTTTAAATTCAGGATAACTTCCTCACCAAAACAAGCGCAATCGCCCGATTGGAAAGTACGTTCGATGCGTTGAATTTTAAAAGTACCTTACAAGGTAACAGGAGATTCATGGTACACTTTCATATAGCCATAGAAGTATTACGAAGCAAGGTATGTTTATATTCTATGTTAGTAAATAACGCGGCTCATCGTCTCGTTCACAACATGACCCGAAAACCAACAAAAAGAAAATCCGAAAATTCACTTTTTCAGAAAGTTTTCTATGGTTCAAATTTACTGATTTCAAGATCATTAAACCTTTTCTAACCTCTTCAGGCACTTGTATCAGTAAATCAAGCCATTGGTGAAAGTATACTCTTGTGGTTATTTTGGGTAGGAAAATAAAATGAGATACATCCGAAAATTGTTTTGATCGGCATAAACTACAACGAAAATATATGCAATGTCAATGTTGATTTTAGCCGCTCGGATTTTCATTTGCGTTAGCTTCAAAGTTTTCTTTCAAATCAGATAATTTTTCATCGACATTGATACATACATATTGTTAGGAGAAAATTTAAGTATTTTAGTTTTTGGACAATTTTATGCATTTTTGCGGTCGCGCAGTTTAAGTTATATTTATAAAGCTTTTTCCGATTGCGAAGTTGAGTACACTAGAGGTCAAAACCAAAACGCTGTCTAATCCTTGACGACCGTGGCAAGTTGGCTTGAAGCAGCAGTCTCCGTGTACCAAGAAACCGTGACGAGTTTCTGTTCCTGCTGCAAGTCGGTCTCTACCGAGCTATTTTGCCCCCGTTATTGTTGCGTTCCCCGCAAGAGTCCAGTTAGCAGTTAGTGCGAAAAACCTATCGCCACAGTATGTAATGTACCCATACATTGCCAAGGAACACAAGTTCAAATGGATTCAAGGGCTATGTTGTAATTATGTTCAGAGTAAAGAATATGATTCTATTAAAGTTTTCAGCGACAGCATCAGAGATTTCATTTAAGCGACTTCCATGCCAAATGTTATGGTAGCTATCTTGTTAACTCAGTGGTTTATTGACTCAAAAGTGTTCAAAACAACGGCCATATCAATTTAGTTTCAACAGACGAAAACTGAAACTATATAAATATTCTTTCAGCTTTAAATCAAACAAGCTCCACTACCTGATTTTAAATGCTACAAGTCATGTTCATTTTCACGCTCAAACTAAATGATACATACAATTAGCAGTACATTTTCATACTTCTAATTGCACTCATTTCGTCAAAAAAAATATACCAGGGAAAATGAAAAGTAGTAAAAGAATAAAAACTGCATTCTCAACATCGTTCCAGTTCTCACATTTCTCCTTCACGTTAGAGCTCTACAAAATTCCTCTCATCTCACTGTGCGAGGTTGTAAAAAGTTTTCCTTATTCTAGGATAAAGAAAAAAAAATTATGCCCAATTAGTTTCCACAGGCTTTCATGGTTTTTACTTTATGGTTATTGTAATCTTGAGTAAATTTTCTACCGACTGAGTCAGTACTGGTAATGACGCCAAAAAAACTCACAATTGTCTGAAGTCGATTTTCAAACGAGAGCTGAAGATGCAGTGCAAGCTAAGTGCAAACCAGTCCAAGAGTTATTTGCTTTGATTTATCTCACTCTATAGAAACTGGGTCAGAAAAATGCCGAAACCTTAGCTTCTTAGATATAAACGAGCTGCAGCTTGAATGTAAACCTTTTCCACGATTTGTCCAAAGAATGGCTTATTTGCTCTCCCAGATTATACCCGCCGGCTGCTAATATTTCACTGTCATTATCAACTAGCTTTCGTTCAGTTTGTTATGGTTTTATGAAAAGAATCTTTAAAAATTCCCTTCTCAAGTATTTTCCTGTATAACTGTCTTTCTTCTCTAATTCTGTAGATAATTGATTGTAATCGATCTGAAGCCACGATGAGGAAATGGAGGAGATTTAGGATACTCCACCATGAAAATTTGACTCGGAGAAAACTGATTCTGTTTCTTGGCGTGGTCATATTCACCATTTATTTACTTGTCCAAAGAAATGAAGGAACAGCGGACCATCAACAGACAGGAGGGACGCCA